TGGCGGCGTGGGTGGCAGGTGGGTGGTGGTGGGTGCGTGGTGGTGGCGAGTGGTGGATGGTGGTGGTGGCAAGTGGGTGGTGAGTGGTGGTGGGGGTGGTGGCGGAAGACGGTGGTGGAAAATGATGATGGTTGGTGGCTAGTGTTGGGTGGTAAAAAAAAAAAAAACTCAAAACTCAAAACGGAAATACATTTTTTGTGTTTTCATTTTTTGGCCAAATTTCTAAATTGAGACCACTGATTTATAAATCAAAAATTTTACCAAACAAGTTTTTATTTGAATTTTTAAAATTTTTGTAAATATAAACAGAAAACTGAAAAAGTGTTACCAAACGGCACCAAAATAATTTTATTTTCCTTGTTAGTAAACTAGAAAAATAAAATACCATAATAATTTTCTGTAACACAAATTAATATGCTGTAATTGTTAATGACACCGGTATATTACTCCTACTTGTCAAAGAAAATAAACAGCATGTTACTACTATTTGTATTTTCCAACCAGAATATTACTTTGTGAAATTAAAGAAAATTAAATACAATGAAGACACCAAAAAATAATGTCTTAAGGTTGTTGGACAATCTTCACTGTATTTAAAAAATAAATTATGTTTACGTACTTAACAACAAACAGAATACAAAAGAAATAAAGAAAATGAGAGAGATTGTTTGATTACAAAAATCAAACCAAAATGTAAAATAAATAAATAAAAAAAATTTCATTTTGTTACAAGAACAAAATCAAAATCTGAAACAAGAAAATAAAAAAATAAATTAATTACTTACCAAATTAATTTCTTGAACAAATTTTTGATCAAGTCCAGTGTTTAACACTGTATCCTTAAGACAGATTCGTTCTCTCTACGGTACTTTCAGATTATGAACGTCTATCTCCCAGGATAAAATGATCAACTATGAATAATTGTAGCATTACAAATCATTCGCACAACGAACACATTTTATGTTTATACTCTTTCTCACGAGAAAACAATGCAGCAAAATGCAGAGAGAGCATACAGAGTTAGGGACGACAATTGGAGTGAAAAATCCAAATGAGAGACTGCCTATTTATAGATGGAGTAGTGGCTCTTTAGTTTGAATTAAATAGGTACAATACCTGTTCAGTTTAAATTAAACAGATACAAATCTGTTTGAATAGGTAAGGCACTATTTGGTTTGAATTTCAAACAGATAAAAACCTGTTTTGGGTTTGAATTTGAACAGATTCGGATCTGTTTGAACAGATACGAAACTGTACAGAATTTCTAAATCGGTGCAAACCAAAATTTGAATTTTATTTCTTACCAGAATTTGAAATAAAAAAGGGACAGATTTTATTCTAAATAAATTCAAATTATTTTGGCCCAAAAAGATAAGTATTGGACCGGACAAGCCCAACCCAACCTCACACCATGCACCCGCGCGGAAGTGTTTATTTTGGGTCCAATGGGTCTAACCCACTTTACCCATAACCTAACTCTCTACAAAACTTGGGTGCCCCTTGGGGCTTACCCCAAGTTCCAAACTCAAGTCTTATAAATCCACTCAAAGTTTGCCCACCAAATCAATGTGGGACAAGCCTTAAACCAAACTTTTAGGAAATTTCACCAAAAACACCATTTTCATGGAGCTCTTTTTTGCTTTAATTTCCCATTCACCCAATAATAGTTTTGAGCAACCAAATATACCACGTGAATCACAACGCGACGTAGAACGTGCTACAACTTAGACCCGCCAACTTTGACATATGAGTCCCACCTAAAAAATAGACCAAAATTTAAAAAAAAAATCATATTTTCCAAAACTATTTCTAACAGTGGTGCTGTTTGGTGTAACTGTTAAAACAGATTATAGATTATAACTTAACAGATTATAGATTATGACTTTAATCAGAAACTGTTAATCTGTTTGGTATAACTGTTAGATTATAGATTTAAGTTGCTGAGTAGTGTTTGTTAAATTAGCTGTGAAGTAGTTTTTTCAATTAACTTTTATTTTTTATTATTCACTATTTGTTTACATTTCTCATAAAAAATAATAATAATATTTTATAGTCTATTTGTGTCTTTGAAAAATAACTTTTTCAAAGAGTCCATTTGTTTACATTATAAATGGACTGGTGGCAGGTGGATTATAGATTATAGATTTATTTTGGACTGTTTTCCAAAACTAAGAGATTTTTGATATTTGTAATTTGTATAATAAGTGGGGTCAATAATAGTTAGCACACTAATTTGTGCATGTAATACCACCGTATGTAGAATAATCTAAATAAATATATTTTTTAACTTTTTATTAAAAGATGTACAAAAAAATAAAGAAGTGATATAACTTAAAAAAGATAAAATGATAAATCAATATATTTTTTTAATTCATGCCAAACAACTCTTAATGCCTAACCCTGATTAATTTCTTCTCATTAAAATAAAAATAATAATAATAAAAAAAAGCCCATATATTTTTCATGGAACCCATATTACTCTCTGTAAAGACTGACTTATATATGGAACCCATATTACTCTCTCTAAAGAGTGACTTTTCTCTATATTTGTTTTTTCGTCTAACATTGCCATGAAAATTGCCACCTAAATCCCCCAAAACAAATGTTCCACGTGGAACACATGGATTGCTTTTAAAAGTTAGTTAAAAGTTAACTTTTAATTTTTTTAAAAAATATGTAAAAAACATGAAAGATAATATAACTTAAAATAGATTAAAATCAATCTAACCTAACTTTGATCATTCTTAAGTGGGTCTCATCAATGAACTTTTTTTAGAAAGTATTTTTTTTTTTTTGAAAAGTCCTTATTATGACTTTGTTAAGGAGTAATGTTAAAGATTTATAATTTGAACTCTCAAATTTATTTATGATGATGTAGTGGTGCTACATATACCAATTAGTATATATATTAATGTACCAACTAGTATTATGCTATTATTATTGACCTCATTTATTATACAAATTACAAATATTCAAAATCTCTAAAATTATGTCACATCATCTGCACTAGTTAATACAGTAATTGGTACATATAACATTATTCTTAATGGTGTAACAAGAGAATTTATCTTATATAATCAAGTATTTAACAATTTAAAAGTTGACACCTACCCACATTATATTATGGGTCAAATTAATAATTTGTATAATAAGTGGGGTCAATAATAGTTAGCACACTAATTTGTGCATGTAATACCACCGTATGTAGAATAATCTAAATAAATATATTTTTTAACTTTTATTAAAAGATGTACAAAAAAATAAAGAAGTGATATAACTTAAAAAAGATAAAATGATAAATCAATATATTTTTTTAATTCATGCCAAACAACTCTTAATGCCTAACCCTGATTAATTTCTTCTCATTAAAATAAAAATAATAATAATAAAAAAAAGCCCATATATTTTTCATGGAACCCATATTACTCTCTGTAAAGAGTGACTTATATATGGAACCCATATTACTCTCTCTAAAGAGTGACTTTTCTCTATATTTGTTTTTTCGTCTAACATTGCCATGAAAATTGCCACCTAAATCCCCCAAAACAAATGTTCCACGTGGAACACATGGATTGCTTTTAAAAGTTAGTTAAAAGTTAACTTTTAATTTTTTTAAAAAATATGTAAAAAACATGAAAGATAATATAACTTAAACAACAATGATTCATCCTACTAAAAACATCACTATTAATAGCACTAATGCATTAAAAAAGTAAAAAAAAAAATAAAATCCAACTCTAAGACCAAAACATCACATCATTAATGGCGGGACCCACTGCCACCTAATTAGTGGGAGCACTAATTAGTGCTCCTAACTTAAAATAGATTAAAATCAATCTAACCTAACTTTGATCATTCTTAAGTGGGTCTCATCAATGAACTTTTTTTAGAAAGTATATTTTTTTTTTTGAAAAGTCCTTATTATGACTTTGTTAAGGAGTAATATTAAAGATTTATAATTTGAACTCTCAAATTTATTTATGATGATGTAGTGGTACTACATATACCAATTAGTGTATATATTAATGTACCAACTAGTATTATGCTATTATTATTGACCTCATTTATTATACAAATTACAAATATTCAAAATCTCTAAAATTATGTCACATCATCTGTTAGTGCACTAGTTAATACATTAATTAGTACATATAACATTATTCTTAATGGTGTAACAAGAGAATTTATCTTATATAATCAAGTATTTAACAATTTAAAAGTTGACACCTGCCCACATTATATTATGGGTCAAATTAAAAAGATTTTTTTTTCAACTCCAACATTTTTACATCACATAATATTTACTATTTCAAATAAGATGATAAAAAAATATAATATTTACTATTTCAAATAAGATGGTAAAAAAATATCAAATACAATGAATATACATCTCACAAATAATAAGTCTTACATATAAATCATATATCATATAAATTTATTTCATGCGAGATATGTTTGATTCTATATGCATTTATACTTAGGGGTTGTTTGGGATGGCCTAAATAAATGCACTTTTTGTCTTTTTACGAAAAGATGTGTAAAAAAGTAAAGATGTGATGTAATGAAAAAAAGATAAAAAGATAAAAAGATGAATTATTTTGATGTTGTCAAACTTGACGTTAATATAGGAGGTAAATAAATGCCAAACAACATTTAATGCCTATCCGATTAATATCTTCCCATTAGGGCCAACCATTATACGTTTCGTGGAACCCATACGACTGCCTCTAAATAGTAACTTTTCTCTATATTTTGTTTTTTTGGTCTAACGTTGCCATGAAAACCCCACCTAAAACATAAATCCCCCAAAACAAATGTTCCACGTGCAACATATATAATCCAATCAACCTAACCTAATTATTTTGGTGCCCAAGTCTATTTATGTAATTTCACACAATCATATGCCACGTCACCAATTCCCTTGAAATTGACACGTCACCACACGTACGGCCTCACACACAATATAAAACCCTCCAGAACCAAACCCTTCGTTTTCATCCCCACTTTTTATTCTCTCTCTAAAACTCTCTCGCTCAGTCGCGCTCTCTCTCGCTCAGTCGCGCTCTCTCTCTACAGAACCCGAAAGAATCACCGAAAAATCGGCCTACCCAGAAGCAGCATTCGACGAGAGAGCTGGATATGCCACCGGTGGCCACAGCAGCGTCACCATCCGATCGAATTCCGATGATGGCTCCGACGACGGTTCAACCAGCTCCGACGGCGATGATGTCGGAGGCCTTTGCCAAGGACGCAATCATCGCCTGGTTTCGCGGCGAGTTTGCGGCGGCGAACGCGATCATCGATGAGCTCTGCAACCACGTGACTCAGCTGGAAGGTGGGGTTCGAACCGAATACGAATCGGCGTTCGCTGCTATTCACCGGAGGCGGTTGAATTGGATCCCGATTATTCAGATGCAGAAGTACTACTCCATCGCAGACGTAGCGCTCGAGCTTCGGCGAGTCGCTGCGAAGAAAATGGAGGAGAGAGAGGGAGGTGAAGATGTGGTGACGAAAAGTGAGGAGGAAGTGAAGGTGTCTGCGAATGAAGAAGAGAAAGGTCGAGAAGTTTATGAGGAGGAAAGCGTTGAAAGTAGCGGTGGTGAGGTCGTTGATGAAGATTCGATCAGAGATGATTCACCGGAGAGTGAGATCACTGATACAGGTAAATATAATTTTGATCTCTCTTTCTCTCTCTATATATACACATGTTTGAGTTAAATACTGTGTTTTCATATTCTTGCTTTTTAAAGCTCGTTTGGAAATGTAAAAAACTAATAATATGATAATTTATTGTGATTATTTAATTTTTTAGTTAAAATATTTAATCTCTATAGGAGACCTTAGGTGATTCATAATTTATATTTAAACAGTTTGATTTGAAATTTTTTCTTACTCAGATTGGAGATTGAAAGCCAATTCAATAATTTCTTTATTTATTTTCTTTTTTTAAAATAAGTGATGATCAGATCGTTGAAAACCGGTGCAGAACCTGACGAATCTATTCTTCCTTTTTAGACCTATTTTTCAAATAAAAACGATTTAAAAGCTCCAGTAATATAAATGCGGAGGTTTTTGTTGGGGGTTGGTTGAGTTTTTCTAGGTGTGGGGAGGTGACCTGGCCTCTTCTTCTTCAACAGCAATGGTAATGAAAATAATTATAAAAAATTTGTAATACTTAAATTACAATAAAACACCAGACATTAATCAGACAATTCAAGAATTATAAATTTTTCATAATTATTTTTATCATTTCTAACTTTTCTCCTTCTCAAATTGGTGTTAACAGACTAACAGAAAGTTTCGGTAGTAGCACAAAAATTATCACGTAAGTCAAGAAAATCACGGAATTATATATTTATTTAATAAAATTATATTTTTAATTTCATGTAATTGTTAAAGCCATCATCATTAATTTTCCCAAAAAATAGGATAACTATTCGTAACAGCGGCTGTTATTATTTTGGTACACCGTCAATGTAAAATTTTTAAAAAATAAACAATTTTATTTTTCTTAATTGGATACATTATCAACGGGAAAGTTCGTAAAAAGAAGTCGTCGTAGCAGGCTTCCGATTTAGCTGGTCAAACCTCGAGAGGGGTGTGGGGTCATTTATTTCTTGACTTATTGTAGGGCGGCGTGGGTTGTTAGGTGTCTTAACCGTCTGATTCTAAACGGACGTCACGGCTTCATCTTGTTGGGTTTATTTGGGTCAGTTGGCGGAGATTTTGACATTTCTTTCTTGGATTTTTAATCTCGAGGGTTTGTTGAACTCGGTGTCTGCGACTCGTTTGACTAAAACTGAGTCGACTCGACTCTCTCTCTCTCTCTCTCTGTGGTAGTTGGGTATTTGGGTTTGGGAATATGCCATATAGGTTGGTGAGGGATCCCGAAAAGGTGCACTTCGGGAGAAATGGTGTTTGAACAGCTGGATAAACATAATTCAATTCAGTACTACTGTTTTGTAATTGGGATATGTCGTGTGTGATCTGTTTTTGTCGCACTCAGGGTCCAGTGTTTTTGATGTGCTGTGTGTGTGCGGAGAGGGGTGCTGCTGTGCTGTAAGGTGCAGTAATTATTATTCTGCCTTTTGAAAGATGTTTTTTTTGAGTGTGTTTTAATAATTTGAACCGTTTATATTATAAGATTTATTGAGTAAATTATTTATATAAAAAATTAAGTTGATTGGATATCTGTAATCCCACAACCAAAGCACATTTGTTTTTATAAAAATTAACGATTAATATAATTTTCATAAATTTTTAAAAATAATTAGGATCTAATCATAAGGTTATAAATATCCGATTAATTTAATTTTTGACAAAAATAATATTCTTGATGAATCTTATAATAAAACGGTTTAAATTATCAAAAAAACACTTGAGAATACCTCCCAAAAGGGGACAGCAATAACTGTCGTGGCTTAGGGCACGGCAGCACCCTTATTTCAGTGCGTACTCTGCAGATTGACTTGTTTTTAAAAGCTCCAAAGATGTTTCTTCTTTGAGAAAATTACACAAAAAAATCATAGGCTCTGTTTGGTAGAGTTTTGAAAGGTTAGTTTCAGATTTTGATTTGCATACCATACTTATTTACGACTTTCAAAAATTAATTCTATATTTACTTTTGAAGACTCTGTCTAATGCGGAAAATTTTTGACTAACCGGTCGTCCGGTTAGTTGATCGGAACAGTGTTTATTTATTTATTTTTTACAATTGACACATGTTAATTTTTATATATTTAATAAAAAATATTTTCTAAATTTTTTAAAATTTTGTATGAGTTTCGAATAGGATTTTGAGTAATGTGTTTGATTATGAGTTGTCAATTTTTGTATCAAATATCATATATCACATCAAAAATTCCTCACTCAATTCAAAACTCTTTTCAAAATTCATTCACCAAACAAATTTTCCACACTCAAATTATAATTGCAAAACTGATAAACTCAAAATACAACTCTATTCTCAAATCATATTTAGAAAACTTTACCAAACGCAACCTATATTTTTATGGTGGTTTAATTCTTTTGTGTGTATAGTATAAATTTATTTATATGTTTAGAACAATTCTTTTTGTGTGTCAAAATTGCGTAAAAAAATATTTTCATTTGTAATGCAATTATTTTATAACTGTTCTATCTAATTATGCATTTTTCACACACTATTTTTTTGAAAATCACAAAAACATAAAGAAAAATACTAGAAACTCTAAAAATTTTACTAAATTTTCTACCAAATATCACATAGATATAGAGAGGCTAACCTCTTCTGGTTTTATATGTTTTTCTTTTAGTTACAATCAGATTGCTGATTCCATTCGATTTCCCCTCTGTGAAATGCAGGATCTCAAGAAGTGCAACCCACATTAGACAATATGGACTTGTGCTCTAACCATGAAGACTGTGAGGCACGTCGTGACCTGATGAAGATGACAAAAGGGTTCACGGCCAAGGAGCCGGTCAAAGGGCATACGGTGAGTTCTTTCTTTCACAATTTTAAGTACAACATTTCTATAAGGAAGATTGAACGGAAAGAAAGATCTCCAACAGCGTCTGTTACCATTTATCAAAAAAAGAAAAAGAAAAAAAGAAGTGAATAAATCATAATATAGTGAATATGTGATTGATTAACAACTGTCAATTGGACTGGCAGGTGAATGTGGTTAGAGGTCTCAAGTTGTATGAAGACGTATTCACTGATTCAGAGCTCTCTAAGTTGGGTGATTTTGTGAATGAACTCCGGGTTGCTGGTCAGAATGGAGAACTCTCAGGTGGACCCTGTGCTTCGTGATGCTTTTATAATTAAACTTTGTTGTTTCCTTCAGGGACAAGGTTTTGAGATAGTAAAAGGGCATCCTCTGTAGTTTTGTTTTGAACAGGTTTGGCTTTTATGTTTTTCTTCTCTCCCTGATTAATTACAGTTCTATTTTCTTTCAATAGACTTCTCACTCACACAGAGGTTCATCTAGATGCGGATTTTAAGTACGAAACACACCCCCCCAAAAAAATAAAAATAAATAAATTAATTAAACAAATTACAAAATAAAAAATCAGCTATTTAATTTAAGCAGCAGATTGAAGTACAGACCATGCTCCTTGGAGGTTGCTGTGGGTTTTTAGTTGTGCCTTTGAAACTGTGTTTTATGTACAGATTATAAATTTAACAGTTTAATTTAACTTTTAAGCAGAAATATTATTTATTTCTTCATTGTTACTTCAATTGGATTGCTGAAACTCTTGGGCTCTGCTAGTTGCATAATTTGTCTTTGGTGATGTATATACGTTGTCTTTTGAATGTATGATGATTATTGTGAGTGTTTTTATATTACCAACAGTTAATCAGTTTTCATGTCAATGACTGTGTATAGGTGAGACCTTTATTCTATACAACCAGCAGACGAAGGGGAACAAAAGACAGTTAATTCAACTTGGAGCCCCTATTTTTGGCCATATAGAAGAGGAAGCAACAACTAAACATGAAAAGAGTAAGTAAAGCTTCTCTGGTATTTCTTCCACAGGAGTCCCATCTTTCCAGCGTATTCTGTGCAAGCATTGTAATTAGGATATATGCTTACAGGTTATATTGAGCCAATTCCTACTCTTCTTCAAAGCGTCATTGACCACCTGGTTCAGTGGCATCTAATCTCTGAAAACAAAAAACCAAACAGCTGCATCATTAACTTCTTTGATGAGGTATATTCAATCTTTTGCTGCATCATTGTGTTCCTCTCCTGATTTTGTTCAAATAGTGTGTGAGCTAAAGCTCTTAAGACTTGTTTTATTTAGGGGGAGTCTTCACAGCCTTTTCTGAAACCTCCTCATTTGGACCAACCCATCTCTACTCTTCTCCTCTCTGAATCAGTGATGGCTTTTGGACGAACTCTCATAACCGATAACGATGGGAACTATAAAGGGACACTCATGCTTCCACTTAAGGAAGGGTACGTACTCAAAAAAGTTCTTTTTCATTGTACTTCAGTGTCTAAAACTTGTTGAATTACAACTAGGTTAGATTGCAACAATGCTGATATATTCTGTTAGATTGCAACATAATTCTGGAATCCTGGTCGTTTTTCAGGTCTCTTCTAGTGATGAGGGGAAACAGCTCTGATATGGCAAGGCATGTCATGTGCCCATCTCCAAACAAAAGGGTGAGCATCACATTTTTTAAAGTCCGGTCAGAAATGAACCAAAACAACTCACCAACAACAATGCCTCCTCTGACCCGAGCCATGACTCTGTGGCATCCTGGTGTCCCCAGCTCATATCCAGTTCCAAATGGGGCTCCGAATGTGATCCCCAAATGGGGAGTACTTCGTGCCCCTGTGGTCATGTTGACGGCTCCCATGCACCCAATGGTTATGAGCCCCAGAAGGATCCCACCTGGTGGTACTGGGGTCTTCTTACCCTGGACTGTTGGATCGAGGAAACCAGCAAAACATCTTCCCCCACGTGCTCAAAAGCGCCGGCTTCTCGCACTACCTTCTCTGGTTGAAAAGCATGTAGCAGAGCCCACTTGTGATCCGGACATGAGCGCCGAGGAGAAAATGGTGTAAGTTGTTCAAAAGCAGCACCAGGGTAAAAAGCAGATAGTCAAGTCAACTGAGAGGGGATCACTAATGTTAGCAACAATCTCAGGAAGAGCTTCTCTTATTGTACAAACAAAGCAGGCTCAGGTGCTCATAGATGAGTTTTCTTTTTTCTTTTTTTGTCTGGTTTTGAACTAGGTTTTAAATGTTGGTTTGTACTAGCTTTTTCTTCAATGCCGAATATGGTAGGGGCTATAGGGATAGTTGAGTTTATAAGTTTAATGAGTGTGAATTAACCGGAAAAAAAGGGCTGAATTTTGTATTTAATTTAAGTTGTTTTTTAATGTCTTAAAGGACAGATGTAGGGTGCTTTGGGGTTGCATATCTATATAATTTCTTGTTTCTCTTTAGGGAAAAAAATTGGCAATATGAAAGGCCGTCATTGCTAAGTTGTTGGTGCTTTTCGTCTATCCAAAAACATGATCGGAGCTGAGAGAATATCGTCATGCAGTGTCTTTCTTCATTTTAATTGATTTAAATAATGAAATATATTAGTATTTAAGAAACAACATGTGAACATAATATTTTGTGATTAATGAAATGTAGATATCACATGACAATGACATGTGGTATTTTATCGACACCTAATAACTTTTCCCCTCCCTCCCAAAGAGTTGTCAAAATAATAATTTTCCCCCTCCCTCCTAGAGAGGAGTTGTCAAAATGTAGCAATCACTTCAACAAAATCCAAGCTTCCGTTTAGTTTAATTTTTTAAATGAGTTTCAAATTTTATATTAAAAGATAAATTATTGAAAAAAAATTTAAAATTTGAAAATTTATATAATTATGAGTTTTAAAAAAAAAATTTTGAATGATTTGTAGTTTTTATTTTTATTTTATTTGAATAGATGGTTATGAAAGAATAATTGATTGATTAATGTATAGAATGTAAAAAAATGTGACAGAAGAGAAAAAAAATAATTGATTGATATATTAATACTAAAAAAGAAAGGAGAGAGAAAATTGAATTGTATTTTTAAAAATAAAAACTAGTAAACCAAACAAACTTTTCAATTGTTCATCCAAATCATATTTTAAAAATCAAACCAAACACTACCCAACATACTCAATACATATGATATATGTAAAACAAAACAATTCAAAGATACGGCCAATTCTTAATTTTCGATACTGAAGGATATTCCAAAGCACATATTTTGTATATCCTTAATCAAACCACACAAATGCCTGCCAACGAAAGAAAAAAACAACTGCTTCACATTTTTTAGTCAGAAAACTCAACGCATAGGAAATTTGTCAGAAAAATTATTATGAAAAGTAAGATTTAAAAAATGTATTGTAAAGTTTAATAATGTGTCTGAACCACACATCGATATTTATTCTGTGTAAAAATTCTGAGCATGTAATATTAACCAGACAACGAGCAAGAGTAGAAGCACTGTAGGCCCTATTCCAACTTAAACTGAGAGCCCTGTGTGAATCAACCCAAATCAATAAAGCTCTGTTCGTAACTTAACTCAAACTTCGAATCAACCCATCAAAAAGAATCAGAGCATATTTCATAGATCCAACTGAGTACCCATCTCAATCTTTGGTGCCTAACTTATTAGAATACCTAGCCAATCAATGATTGATCCTTCATATTTTATGAAATCAAGCTTTGTACGCTCTTCTATAAAGAATATCCAAACACAGAGAAAGAGATGCATACCTGCCTCTTGGTCTTTGAGCAGTGATCATTTGGGCTAGGAGATCTCTAAAGAAAGGAAGAATCATTTTTGGGATCCAGTTATGTAATTTTGGTTAGAAATCTTACTTTTGTATACCAGAGAGGAAATTTTTGCCCAAACGAAATTAGATTCTCTGCACCCCGTTTTTCTTCTGTATGGACAGTATTGATAACTTTGTATCCGACTCAGGAAGAAGGGGGGGAAAAAAAAGAAACAACAGATTGTACTATTAGCAGCCAAGCCTTCTTTTTTAAAAAACCAAATCCTAACATTATTTGAAAACATAGTGAAATATCCTATTAATTATTTTTTATTTAAATCTAACTAAAATACTACTAATAATAATCTATCAATTACACTTATTGATACCCTAGTCTTCCAAAGCAAATGAGGAGTTGCCACCCAATTAAAGGTTGTGCTATCAGCTGCAGATTACATCCAATCCATTCATAAGTCATTCCACTTCATTCTTATACAGGAAAACTGTCTCATGAAATGACGAAACACTTTTGAATCAATGAATAACACAAACATAAGATTCCACCCTATTGGAAATCCCTGGAACAAGCACATGATTCTATCATAGCCCTATAAAAAATAAAAAAATAAAAATCTTTTCAAACAAATATAAATCCATGAAAACTGGAAACAAGTGGCATCAGATAACAGGATTAGCTTTAATAAATATTTGTTGCCCATGTATGGTTACATCTCAATGAAAGCACTAATGGTTTTCTGAGGATGTCGATAAATCAAATACAAATAATAATCCCTTTACGACAAAGATAGATGATAATGTCCATCAGTGACACAATTTGTGGAATAACCCAAATTGTTTTGACAGTTACCCCAGTTTTTGAACCGCCGCCTGTCGTACCCTAACCTTAAGCTTGCATGGCAGCAACCACCATGAATATAGATTTGTAGAGAGAGGGGGATTGCTGCACGTAGCTCTTTTGAAGAAGTAATACCATTAAATCCAGATAATACTAGCTACAGAACAATCAAACAATAAATCCAGATAGTAATCCCATTAAACTAGTGATACAATGATAATTGCAGTCTCAAGTTGGATTTTAACATCCATAAGATCATTAAAAGAAATAATGCAGTAACCACCAAACATTCAATAAATGTAGAGCCATCTTATTATGAATTCAAATATTCAATTGCTTCAACTTCCAATATTATACAGAATCAATAAACAATTTGCTTCATAAACCTATTACAGAGGAAAGAAATCCTCCCCACTCTATGCAGCTGAACACTTACATAAAACAAATAATATGGGAAAGAAAGAAACAAACACGTTGCAATACACTTTGAGCATTTAACATTCTTGACGCTTACATGGTATCACGCTTTGTGACAGGCTCATCATCATCTTCAATATCCCAACTCAAATCCTCATCTTCATCTGCAGCACTCATCCGCTTCCGAAGATCATCTCTGTTTGGACTTTCACCATGACTAACTTTCTTTTCCTCATTGCTCCCAAGATCCTCAATCTCATCCCACCCAAGGTCTTCCTCCTCCGGCAACGATGGTTCAGTTGACACAATCGACAAATCACTATCTTTACAAGATTCACTAGTATCAACCTTCCCATCCAAAGCCACCTTCTCATCAGATTTTGATACAGACTCAACATTGTTCTTCACTTCTTCAGAAGTTTGTTCAGAATGCACTTCCTCATTGGTCACTTTCTCACTACTTGCTTCTATAACATTGCCCTTATCCACATCATCCACATTGGGCTTAATCTCTTCCTTGCTATCAACAACCTTAGAGCTCTCAACTTGTGCTTCATTGGTTTCACTCTTCAGCACTTGAGGCAATTCTTGACTACCCAATTCCTTATTTTCAACTGTTACTATGCTGTTGCCTTTTGATAACCCATTACTCTCTTCTTCATCATCGTTGTCATCGTCCACATCCCAAGTCAATTCTTCATCATCTTCGGATGAAATTGCTCTCTTTACAAGATTCGCTCTCACATTCTCCTGAAGCTTAAGCTTATGAACCCTAAAGAAGTACCGAAACCAAAAGGTCTCGTGATCAACCACATTGGGCACAACCCTTTTATACATTCCTTCCATAGACTCATTTTCTTCAATCAAGCTCCTAACTTCATCACTCTTCTCTTCCAACACAAACCCTAATTTCCACTTATTGTAATCCTCCAAATCCTCCGGTTCTTCACAGTAACTATTCGCATCACTCTGAATTGAGCGCAATTGCGCTTCGAATCGACTGTACCTCCTCGGGGTCAGATTCTGATTACTTTGACTATGCGATTCGGAATCCGATTCGCCATCGGAGGGTGCGAGAAGGGTTTCCTTACCGTGTGCGATGATCTCGGCCGTTGATTTCAAAACTCCATCGATTGCGTGCCCTAGCGATCCATGAGCCACCGACGCGCCGACCTCGATCGACGACGGGAGATCCTTCACGGCGCGGCTGGCGACCTCGCGAAACACCGCTGTTTCCTTCTGAAGACCCGACCCGAATTCCTTGAGATCGCGACGATAGGTCTCGATGACCGACTCGGATCTGGTAGCGAAGGTCTTGATCAGACCTCCGAAGCTCCACCCGCCGGCGGCGGCCGAGGAATTAGGGTTTGGAGAGCTCTGATCTGATTGATCATCGACGTCGTCGTTGTTGTCATCATCGCGGTGTTCTTGGGATGGGTTCGTGGGGGATTTGGGTGGGTTATCGGGTAGCGGAGGATCCGATTCCTCTGCTAAAATGGATCTGAAGAAATTCATGAATGAGACGATGAATTAGGGTTAGGGTTTCTATGAGATCTTCTTCGGGGTTGGTATGAGAGAGAGAGAGAGGGAGAGAGAGACCTGAAATCAGAACACAAGCTTTGTAACAAGGAACAGTCTCCGATACGCAGGATGCGCAGTGCGCACCTCCTTGTTTGGGCTTATAAGGCCTTTGGTAAATTGGGCCTAGTTAATTTTGTAGCCCACAATGAAGCCCATATTTCCCTTTAGACTTTGGACCTGAAAGCCCATATACAAGGTCCATGAGTAAGCAACAATGACATCTTTTTTCTTTCTTGTTTTCTTTGGTGGGAATGGCGGCACTTGACTCAAGTTGAGAACTTGGTTTTTCTTTCTCATAATTTTAATATTAAAACAAATGTTTCCAATTATTATTTTGGTTATTGTCCATGTGGTATGTGGGTCATATTATTTTTCAAATATTGGGCTATGCATGTACCATGTTTGTTGTGTAAATCAAAGAAAAGTTATTTAATACTCAGGAAATATAATCATATAATGTTTTATGGAGGTTGTGATTGAAAGAGTGGATATGACCTATAACTTTACGTTAAGGATCAAAGAGATAGGAGGGAAGGAGTAATTATCTTGTCTATCCAAAATTTCAATCTAGTAGTATGTCCAACCAATAAATAGTGTAGAAATGACAATATATTATTGGATGGATATATGGCTACATAATCCTCCCAACCCATAAGATAATTTTTTAAAAACATGACATTTGTTTATCGATATGTGGCTTGAGTCTTGCTACAACCCATAGGTACCAAATAATTTTTGATGAATCCACATAAGATAAGGACGAAAAAATGAAATTTATTAAGTGACAAATTATCATCCTTACAAATTTATTGTATATCCATTTTTGGAATTAGTATCCAAGCAATGGCTTTTACTGACAAAAATGTTTATAGGAACACAAAAACTAATCATGGAATCGGACATAAGTTTCACTTCGAGTCCTACACCCATGTAAGAGAGTTATGTTTGGATCTATAATTAGTTTTTGTGCAAGTAGAAGAATTATTCACTGACTAATTATTTTTCTTCTTCTCTGATTTATCATTCGTTTGTGTAATTTCTCACTTTGATTTGCAGATTGGCAACACTGCACTGTGAGAGGGATTGAAAAAAAATCAGGTTTTAGCAAGAATATATTCAACTACCTTATGAAATCGTTAAGAAGAACCTCCGACTAAAGGAAATTTTCAAATTTCTCTTTCTGTCAGCTTTTTTTTTTTTTTTTTTAATCTGAATCTAATTATTGATATGCTTGTATAATGATGGACAACCCATCTATCACTATCAATCAAGCATTTGAGCTTAAGCATTGGTCATGGTTTCAGATGACAGGTCCCTTTCGTGTAGCCATGTGATCAGAAAGTCGGTTTGGATTCGACATATGTACTTGTTCCTGATTGATTGTTTTCAAAAACATAAAAAAACAAAAAACGAAAACAGAACCAACCACACCCACAAGTTTCAAAAGGAAGGTAGAATTCTAGTTCTCTCACTTATACAGGGTATCAGTTGCCACTTTCTTGCTTTTGACAAAAAAGCATTTTAAGCAGTGAGACTAGAAGAACCCTTGAGGTTAAAAGACACAAGAAATTCTTAACCCACAGATCTAATTCTTTACTTTTTAAAAAAATATATATTTTTGCTACCCCATCTTGCAAGATTAGAATCTTGACATGACAATCCATCAATGTCTTCAAATACAGCTCTTCATCCCATGTTTCACCTATCAAAACCCACTTCAATCCCATTTTCCCATTACTGTTTTCTAGCACAAGAAAATGCAAGAGAACAACAATTCCGAGCCCCTTGGCATCTGCCACAGGTTCTTCAATTTCATCATGAACAGCCTCATTGCCCCAGGCGTCAAGCTTCTAACCACCGGTCATTCCCTTCCTGATCACCAATCAAACAAAATGTCTTTTGAAGATTCATCAACAAATCAAAGCGAGCTCAGCCTAAAGCATGCCACGCACAATGGAGAGAAAAGCGTGCTACATGCAGATTGGGAAAGGCCAATAGACCGTTCAAGTTCTGAAATCATGGTCGAGTTCAGGCACACTAACGGGGTAGAACAATGGACTTTGGACCGTGGTCCAAAGAAAGATAGTCCTCCAGTGATCAGAGACTTTCCTAAATTGCAAAAGGGTATGGAGAACAGGAACAGCATACAGGGAATTTTTCCAGAGGAGGAGAACATTGAGAAGAAATATGCAAAAATACCGATTGATCAGAAATTAAAAGGAGTTGTTGTAGAGACTGAAGACAAGAGGCCTTCTTATAGGCCTCTTCTTCTGATGAATATAAACGAAAAATCTGATGCGTTTATTCGTCAAAAGCGAGAAGCTTTGATGAGGACTAATAACAACCTTGACCAGTCTTAGTCTACAAACTTAAAATATCATAGGTATCAATCCATGTGTCTTTGGAGTTTGTTAGAAATTGAAATGAAAAAATAAATCAGATTTTGATTCCTATGTAATTTTAAGAGATTTTGAGCATGCACTTGAATTTGTTGCTGTTTTCTCTGCTTAGTTTCCACAATATTTTTCTATTGAATTAAAGATGTGATCACATGAAGAAGAACAATGGCAGGGGTTGCATGATTCATCAAATTAATTAGTGGAAATTCATTCTTCTGCTTCTTCTGAAATCATAATTTGTGTCTATGGATGACCCATCTGAGACTCTGCAAACATCCTCAAAAAAATAAAATAAATAAGCAACGTATGCTGAAGAATTCAAACACCATGACCACCATTCAAAAAAAGAAAGAAAAAAAAGAAGACTAGAAGTGTCTCAATTAGTTATACCAAAAATGTCTACACAAGAGGGGTGTGGGGGTCCCTTTGACAAAAAAGAAAACAAAAAGAGAGGAAGAATTAACAAAACATAAGCATGATTAAACTTAATAACTCACTAAAAATGTTAAAAGACAATTAATATATAGATAGATAACTTGATCAGAGGGACATGGATAATGTGATGGATAGAGAGGATCGTCAGCAATCTCAGCAGTCACCGTTTGATAATTCTACACAGCCATGTCATTATTGTCCATTTAACAAACAACAAGACTCAAAAAAGAAAAATTTGCCTCTATCCTCCATGTCATTTGAGTCCACCAAGCACTTCAATTTTCAACACCTAAAGCAAAAAACAAAAAAAACAAAAACAAACACATAACCCTCTCTCTCTCTTCCCCTCTTGTATTTCTCAATTTTCTTTTTCGATACTCTCTCTTTTCCTCTCTTTTTTTTTCTTTTTTTTTTTGATTTTTTTTGTAGGTTTTTTTAATACATTTTATCACTTTCTTCTCTCCCAATAAATTAGGCATGAGACAATCTGCTCCAAATTTTTTTGTCGCTCTATCTTAAAACACTCACATTACATCTCGAGATTTTCATATGATCTAGCAATGATTGTGAGCATTTTCAGACAGAACATACAGATTTGGGACAGAGGATCTTTCACCAATAAATCATCCCATTCTTTCAACTTTCTAAACCCCTCAAACCAGCAATAATTCTAGGTATCACATAAATTTTTTCACAAAAAACTTCCCCAAGCCATGCCAGTCTACAAGCCGGATGACTGCCCCAATGAAAAGTATCAATTGGCCAGTCGACTAGTACGACTTCTAGGAAGTTTTCGTGAAGCCTAGCATTGTCCTTCCCCCTTCATTCTTCAAAAGTATGTTTGTTTGAACGATAAAGATCATAAGGAGCCCAGAGATGATCAACGATGCAGGGCTTCCTCGAGTCCAACCTCAACCATGGCTTCCCTTTTCCACTCCAATGGAGTAAGCTAATAGGCCCAGGATGCAAACTCCTGCATTTTCCTTCAAGATTGTCACCACCCAAACCATGCTGGTTCCATCTATGATCAATGGCTCTGATATTCCCAGCCAAAACAAGCAAGAAAGGTGGCAAAGAACCCAAATGGTATATCCTCTTCTGCTTCTGAATCACCATCCAATCCTCAACCTTCTGTGTATACCTTCCTTGTCTCCACTTATCAACATCCACCACCATAACCCCTGTGTTGAAGTAACAAGGTTCTCTCCCTCGGAACGTACCAGACAAAACCGGGTCAGACCAAAACGTAGAGGTGAAGTAGTTTGAGAAATTGGCATGACAATATTCTGGTGCAGCCAATACTTTGTCACCCAAATCAACCCCCCATAGCTTTGCGATATCATCAACCATGACAAGGTCCGAGTCAAGGTAAATAACCCGTTTGACGTTAATGGGTATTATGTCTGCGAGGTAGATTCTTGCGTAGTTGAGAGGTTGGTCTAGAGCTTGGCGGATGGATTTGGATATCTTGCCCCGAACCCGGTTTGCGTCGAAGCGGTAGACCCGGAAGTTGAGGTAAGGGAAGGTGGACTTGATACTGGAATGGATTTCAGGGTCAAACCGGGACCAGAGGAAGTGGAACATGACGTTTTCCGGGCAGGTAGAGTGTTGGAGGATAGATAAGACAGCGGCCATGGTGCCACGAAGGTAATTAGCATCAAGTGTCATTGCCACGTGGATTTGGTCGGTGGAGAGGGGACCGCAAGCGTCACCATTGCGAAAGGCGGGGGCTTCGCGGAAGACAGGGACGTGGGGGGTGGGTTGGCGGATGATGCTAAGGCGAATGCCAGTGGTGGTGGTGATGGGGGCGGCGGAGGTGGTGGAGAGGAAGAGAGACAGGAGGCCGAGGAGAGAGAAAGAAGGGGAGCTCCTCAGGAAGGCCATCCTGCCCTTTGCATTTGGGGAATGAGGAATGGGGGGGAAAGGAGTTTCTAAGGGGAAAAAGGTGAAGAAGCATCCATTGGAGGGTGTGTTAAACAGAAGGTTTAGGAGAGGTCAGAAAATGACTGATAGACAACAAAAAGGGTAGGAGAGAGGTTGGTTGGATTGTGAGGGAGAGAAGAAAACTCGGATGAGGATTTTCTCTCTCTGTTAATTAACCACCTATATTTTCTCTTTAATTTTTTACCAGTAATTAAGGAGCCATGTTCAAAATGGATGATATATAATAGTTCTTACTGGAAATATATATGTATGGTTTTGATAGGGAAAATAATTTGACAATGCTGATAGTAATTAGTGTGACCAATTTTATTAGTTTATTATATTTAGGGTTCTTATAAAATTAATTTCATATGTTCGTTATGAAAACTTTGGCCTCTTTTGACAACTAGGTTAAAAGTTAGATTATTGACCTTTTAGCTTTTTTGAGTCACACCACTTCTCTAATTTTTTTACATGTTTTTTCAAATAAATAAATAAAAAGTTAACTTTTAGCCTACTTCCAAAACATGTGGTGGTTTACCAAATAAAATTTTGTTCCAAATCACCCAAGCCAACTATTTTTTCCCATAAAGAGAAGACACAAAGGGTAAAATTAGAAGTTCAAACACTGGCAACTAGTTAAAATGTTAGTTAATAAAAGGAAACTTTAATTCCATACAACATCAAAGGACCAATGGGCATAACTGAAAAATTCATATAGACCAACAATCTGTTAGTTTCAAATTCTCAACTCCAATGATCTCAGCAAATCCTACCAGACAATTGATACACTTGGTGCTTACACTTTACAAAGACAACAAAAAACAATAAATACCATATAGAGCAGTATGTCACCAATGTGGCAAGGTATTGACTTGAATGCTAAAGCTCATCTTTCTGCGGTGTCTCAAAACATTGTTCATCCCAATAGTAGGGAAACTTCAATTTGGCAGCCGTGTGAGGCATGAACCAATCGTTGTACATGAACCTGGAAAGCAAAATCCATATTTCAATGATTTGTTGGTAACAAATTCGAGCAGATCATGAAACACCACAAAATTTTACAAATTTTGATAGATGAAGGACCAAAACAACCTAGAGTTCTAGTTCAATATGTGCTTTCATATGGACAAAGGCCTTCAATCATCAAATTTCATTGTCACTGCCCCTCGGGTTGTCATCATTCTTTTGACATAAACTTTCACGATGGATGGACACTGATTTGGACATCTCAAACAAAAAATAAATAAAATTCATATGTTGGTGGTATTTGTGGGAAGGCATTGCCTTACCAAGACCCCCTGCAGCTCTGTTGGAGGTCAAAAGTACGGTAAAAGCTAGAGAAATCTTCAATGGATAACAAATTTGAAGGTGCTTTCAAGAGAACGGCCTTTATGGTGGGCTGTAAGAAGCATTTATGAGAAGCAAAATTTAGAAATGTAGTTCTCGGCAGCTACATAGTTTATCTTTCAAAGACCTGAAGCATTCTTACTTAAATGGGTAACAATACACAAAAAGTTATCATCTAATATTTATTTATTTTTCCAATGGTTTCACAAGGACAAAATGATCTGCTCTCCAAAAAATCCAGATCATCGTCATCATACAAGCATCTTAGACACAGTTGTAGATACAAAAAGGCATTGCCTTACCAAGACCCCCTGCAGCTCTGTTGGAGGTCAAAAGTACGGTAAAAGCTAGAGAAATCTTCAATGGATAACAAATTTGAAGGTGCTTTCAAGAGAACGGCCTTTATGGCGGGCTGTAAGAAGCATTTATGAGACGCAAAATTTAGAAATGTAGTTCTCGGCAGCTACATAGTTTATCTTTCAAAGACCTGAAGCATTCTTACTTAAATGGGTAACAATATACAAAAAGTTATCATCTAATATTTATTTATTTTTCCAATGGTTTCACAAGGACAAAATGATCTGCTCTCCAAAAAATCCAGATCATCGTCATCATACAAGCATCTTAGACACAGTTGTAGATACAAACTCCAGTATTAAGTATTAACAATAGTGTGCAACCATTTAGCTTCTTTTTTTATTTTTTTGAAGATACTTATATTGCTAAACTTCTTTCACATGCCTTCCTTTTGCATGCCTTGCTATATTTTAATATCCTCCAAGTAACGAAAAACAGAAAACACTATTAAAAATCATATTGAACAGTAAAAATCTGAAACATGCAACATGATGGAAGAAGATTATTTCTTACACTTTGACTGGAGGACGTGATATGACAACTAGAACTTGCAAGTCCTCATTTTCATTTGTATTCCAGATCTGTAATGGACATAGTAGTAGCAAACCATTAACAAACACCAAAGGCAATCAACATGAAAAGATCAGGTTCACCAATCTGCTAGGCATGGACTCAACATAATACCTTTTTCCTTTGATAAGTAAAAATATTGTATGGTAATGCCACAATTCAACTAAAACCCAACCTAACCCCTTTGGGAAAATTAGCAATTTATTTATACCAAGGATGCTGAATTGCTATAAACTCATTGAAAACTGAATTGAAATACCATTTTCTGAAGGCAAGAGTGATCTACCTGGTGAGCATCATTAACAGGGATATGAAATGTGCTATTTGTGAAGATAGGAAATTTTTGGGGTTCTCCGGGGTATTTTGTATATGAATTTGAGGCAAGATAGAGAGTGCCACTCCCCTTTAAGACAACGAAAATTTCTTCACAGGAGTGCATATGAATAGGTGTGTGTGATCCCGGAGCAAATGTTTGAAGCCATACTTCAACCTACAAAGAAAATTGGAAGACTACACTGAGATGGAAGAAAATTTGCATTATATTATGTATTCCTCTTTTATTATGTCGTTTTCTCACATCCTCTAGTATCTAATTCTTTATGGCAGTTATATTTAAAAGATTACAGCTATAAACATGCCTTCATTAATTACACCATCTTCTATACCCTGCTCAAAATTGTTGGTGGGATGTGGGTTTCTTTGAAACTCAAATAATAGAACTATCACAACATAAGTTTCTAAAATTAAATTTTTTTACCCACTAATAAAACTTTATTTTTTTATAAGTTTAAATATAAATAAACGATGCACTTGAGAGATCATTATAAAATTAAGAACGTATAGTGCAATGACATGGTGTTTTTCATACCTCTTTCATCCCATGCAAGAGTGAACCAGCAACAGTAATGTGGGACAATCCAGGCCTCCCAAAGTTATCCTGTGGAAGCTCACCAATATTCCTCACCAAAGGTACTCCTGCATTGCAAAGAAACTCATATCCTCTACCATAAAACAGTTCAAAATTTTGTTAAAAGCAACAGCATAGAGTAACCCTAACCATCAGCAAAACCTTTGTATGTAGAATTTTATTTATTTACTTATTTTTAAATTATTTTAAGATGGAATATGTGAACACTTGGAACATGAAGCATCCCTAATTAATCAATATCTTTGTTTTGCATAAATATACGGGTGTTAAATTCCAGTATATTCAAGGGGAAAATTGCCAGGAAACAAAAAAAATAAACAAATACATGATCAAGGAAACACATAGAATACCCAAATCATTATTTAATTATTTAATTTTTTTGGGTTAATTCATGTTGGAAATTGGGATGATAAGACTGGTAATTTCAGTGAATTTGGGGAGATTCGAGAAATACAGGTCATGAATGTTGTTCAGCAACATGAATAAGGGGTATGAAAAAGCAAGTATATATATATATATATGTAATTCAAGTGTAAAACAACAGTCAATAGAGAATGAGAGTAGAATATGAAAGAACTCACCTTGAGTTGAACAGTGATAAGCTTCGGAGTTCAGAGAGAAAAGAAGCGCTAGTGCCAAGAAGACGAGCGAATTCACTCCCATCTTTCCTGCTTCTCTTCTACTTCTCCCTCTGCAACTCTCTCTCTCTCTCTCGTTCGTGGATGAAGTCTAGACCATACGGATACTGCTCGGGTCTTCAAAACGGGTCTCCCTGACCCGTTCAATTTATTTTTTTTTGGGGTAAGTGGTAATACTATGCTTGGTTTTATTTTTCCAAAAACACTTTTTAGAAAATTATATTTTATTATTTTTTATTTTTTTTATTTTTATTGATTTTTTTTAATATTTTAAGTAATTTTTTAAATTTTTAGACATACATAACTTAGATGTATCTAAAAAGTGAAAAATTGGTGAAGAAAATCTTTTAAAAATTCACTAAATATCCAAAATACAAAAAAAAAATAAGAGAATTCAGTACATTTTTTGTATTTTAATATATTTATTAATTTTTTAAAATATTTTTCACAAATTTTTTACTTTTTAAATACATCTAATTAAGGTGTATCTAAAAAGTAAAAAAAAATGTTTAAAATTTAAAAAATATTCATTAAAAACAAAAAAACACGAAAACCAAAAAATTTAATTTTCAAAAAATTTAATTTAAAAAACTCAAACCAAACACACTAACATTTTTTACTCTGACAATAATTTAGATGGCACAAGGGGACAACTATTTTCTTATCTAATTTAGACACATTTAGCACTTTGATTTTTGAAAACCCTCACTCTGGTTTCAGTTTTTAAAATTTACTTTTCAAAAAATTTTACATTTTTATTTTTTGCATTTTTTTATTTTCGCTGAATTTTTTTTAATATTTTAAGCAATTTTTTTTTTCATTTTTAGACACAACTAATATAAATACACTTAAAAAGTATAATATTTGTGAAAAAAATCTTTAAAAAATTCACTCAATATCAAAAATACAAAAAAAAAAACACCAAAATTCAATACATTTGTTTTGTATTTTTGTGTATTTATTAGTTTTTAAAAATATTTTTTCACAAATATTTTATTTTTTAGATACATCTAAGTAAGGTGCATCTAAAAAGTAAAAAAAAATTTAAAATTTTAAAAATATTCACTAAAAACAAAAAAATACGAAAACCAAAAAACTTAATTTTCAAAAAACTTAATTCAAAAAATTCAAACCAAACACACTGAATGGATTTATTTTATATTTTTTTTACGCTTTATTTAAATTATAAATTCAAATGAAAATTTAAAAATAAAAAGAGAAAATGTAAAAAGTTTATTTCTTCCAAATTTTCAGAGCTTATGTTTTATTTTAGATTTTTTTATTCAAATTTATAATTTAAGCATAATCTTAAAAAATAAATCTTATTTTTTAAAAATTTAATTTGTACCCGACTTAGGCCTCGTTTGGCAAGTGATTTTTTTAGCCAAAAAGTCAAAAAGTTACTAAAAAAATCAAAAAACCAACAACTTATACCAAAAAGTCAAAGATTTCATTTTCTCTCTACTTTTTGCACATCTTTTCGTAAAAAACTAAAAAATCATCCTAAACATACTAATTTTTTTTACATCATATTTTAGGGAAATTCTATTTCCACCACCCTAATAAACTCAGGGCAAATCTTTTTTCAATACACATCTCTACTAATTTAATTATTAAGTAATTATTTCAATTCACATCCTTAAAATTACAAATAAATTCTTCACTCATATATACGCACACTTTACCCTCAAAATACACACACTTTAATTTACCCCAATTTACAAATCTACTTCCACCCACTTTCATGAGGACCAAAGTGACCCCAATTTACATTTCTACTTCAAACAGGAGGGAAGAAGAAAAAGTTCAAACAGGAAACCCAAAAAAAAATAAATAAATAAATCTGCACTTTCCTCACCTCCATTGAAGATTTCAAGAGCTCCATTGAATATCTGCTAAACACCGTTGAAAACCTTGTTTAAGGTAAGAAATCTTTCAATTTTATTATTGCATTTATCATTTTGTTATTAGATTGACAATTTTCAGATCTCTCTTCACTCCATTCGCATGAAAGTATGTTTTTTCTGTGGCTGGAAGTGCTGTGTACATCTCGGCACTGGCTTTCCGAGAATGTGTGTTTAATTCGGCACTTGATTTCCGAATTTTATGTATAATTTCGTCCAATAAATGTCGAAAAAATACATAACTTCAGCGTTTGACAACCGAATTAATTCTATATTTTCGGTGACCTTATGCCGAATAAATACAATAATTTCGGCACTTAATTGTTGAAATATTTTTGTAAGTTCGGCCCTGAAGTGCCGAATGGGTTTTTTTTTTTTTTTTGATATAGAACCAGGTTACATAGGCCACCAATATTTGTTTTACTTTAGGTTCTTTTCCAACAATTTTATTTTATGGGTATGTTTATGTATTTATGTTTTTCCCCCAAATTGAATGCATAACAATAGAAATAAAAAACTGTGCAGTATTGGTATTTTCACATGATATTGTTAGCTTAGTAGTTGGGTCTTCATAAATTTTGTTAGCTAAATAGCTGAACAAAACAATTGCATTATATAGAGTATTAAAAGCTTGAGCTAATTTCACATCATCCAAATTGTGAATTTAATGGTCTATAACTGCGTATTAGATTTCATTAAGGTGGCATGGTTAGGCTACTTATTACCCGCATTGATGTGATCCTTTTATGGGAGTGCTTATTATGTTTTCATTATATTGGGTTGATAAGAACAACTTTTCTTATGCAGATGGATGTCGGTCCTAGTGAACGTCGGTCAATAACAGCTTCGAACAGAAGACTCCATGAATTAGAGAGACGTGGACGTGGACGTGGACGTGCTCGAGTGCATGATGATGACATGCACATTGCCATGGATGATGATCCTATACATGGTGCACTAGTTATAGATGATATTGCTATGGATGATGACTCTACTGGTGATGATGCTGACATTGTTGATGAAGCTATCCTTACTCAGCCATTTCCGGGAGGTCCAACTAATCCATTAATCCTTAAAAATTTTAAAAGTCATGTTGCCGCAGCTATTTGGAATGGTGCTGATGAAAGGGGGCCCTTAAAGTAAGTTTGGTCCTGAAGTGAGGAGTGGGTTTTTTTTTTTTTTTGGATATAGAACCAGGTTACATAAGCCACCAATATTTGTTTTATATTAGGTTCTTTCCCAATAATTATATTTTATGGGTATGTTAATGTATTTATTTTTTTTCCCCAAATTGAATGCATAACAATAGAAACAAAAAACTGTGCTGTATTGGTATTTTCACATGATATTGTTAGCTTAGTAGTTGGGTCTTCATAAATTTTGTTAGCTAAATAGCTGAACAAAACAATTGCATTATATAGAGTATTAAAAGCTTGAGTTAATTTCACATCATTCAAATTGTGAATTTAATGGTCTATAACTGCGTACTAGATTTCATTAAGGTGGCATGCTTAGGCTACTTATTACCTGCATTGATGTGATCCTTTTATGGGAGTGCTTATTATGTTTCATTATATTGGGTTGATAAGAACAACTTTTCTTATGCAGATGGATGTCAGTCCTAGTGAACGTCGGTCAGTAACAGCTTCGAACAGAAGACTCCGTGAATTAGAGAGACGTGGACGTGGACGTGCTCGAGTGCATAATGATGACATGCACATTGCCATGGATGATGATCCTATACATGGTGCACCAGTTATAGATGATATTGCTATGGATGATGACCCTACTGGTGATGATGCTGACATTGTTGATAAAGCTATCCTTACTCAGCCATTTCCGGGAGGTCCAACTGATCCATCAATCCTTAAAAGTTTTAAAAGTCATGTTGCCGCAGTTATTTGGAATGGTGCTGATGAAAAGGGGCCCTTAAAGTGTCATAATCACTCATCTAAGATTCGTTCGTGGCCGTGGTGGGAACAAGGAAACAACGCTACATTTGTAAACATTGTGGAGATGTCAGGACTTGCACAATTAGCTCGTTGCACGTACCGCTTTGTCAATAAAATTGTAGTGTCTAATTTTGTTGAGAGATGGCAACTGGAGACAAACACCTTCCATTTGATTGTTGGAGAGATGACTATCACATTGGACGATGTCGCCACTATCCTAGGGCTTCCCATTGTAGGCAAATCTATTAGCGTGCGTAAGTTGTTAGAAAGGTGGGCTGTTACATTAGTAGTTAATACCTTGGAAATTGATGAGTAAAAAGTCAGATATGAGATGTCTACTGCTGGAGGCAATTCAGTGAGGCTTAAGTGGTTGAGGGCACACTTTCATAATATCACAGACAATGATTCAATGGAAAGAATTGCATGTGCAGGTAGAGCATACTTGCTATTTTGTTGGGTTGTACACTTTTCAGTGACAAGACTTGTACTAGGGTCCCCGTTGTTTATTTGAGTTTGTTGTCCGATTTGACGACTGTATCTTCATATGCTTGGGATGCTGCTGCATTGGCATACTTATATAGACAGTTGGGGTACACTAGCAGGTCTGACGTAAAACAAATAACCGGTTACATGACACTCCTTGAGGGATGGATTTATGAGCACTTTCGTGGATTCCGACCACACTTGAATATGAATTACACTCGAGACATGCCACATGTTTACCGTTGGACTTCTCGAGAAAGTGTGGTGAAGAGACACAGTTGCAGGCTTTTCGAGAGGAGCTTGATAGGTTGGGTGTACATGATGTAAGTTGAAAAGTCCTTCAAAATTTGAAACTCTATATCATACAAAATTTACAGTTGTCATATCTTATAGTTTTTATTGTTTGTAGGTTGTTTGGGACCCGTACCAGAGTTGCAGAGATGTTCATCCATGTCATCCAGTTACGTTCTACCATGGTTGCCTAAAGTGTTTGGAAGTAGTTGAACCATATCACCCTGATAGAGTGTTGAGACAGTTTGGCAGAGTGCAGACAATCCCTAATCCACCACTTGGCCCTATGCGTGCTTCTCGAGAAGCCACAGCTCCACGCTACAATGTTATGTATACATACTTGGACATCATTTGGGAGGCATGGGACAACCATGTGTTATCTGATCAGATGAGGAGTATACCAGTACGGCAACCTTGGGATTGTGTTCCTAGTTACATGGATTGGTACCAAACCATTACCCATATGTACGTACAAAACCCAGCGCGTCGTTCTCAAGTGGATCCGAATATCCATCATTATCAGTATTCTAGCCAAGACGCACAGGTATCTTTTTTTTCATTTAGATTGCAAATTATTTATGTAAACTGTTACAAGTTTGTGCATAATGTTATATTTGTTCTCGTAATGCAGCGTATGTCACAGATACATCAGATTACTCATCCTTTCATTGAGGCTAGCTATGAGGACAGTGTTCAACATCCTGATAGGCTTTACTACGCGATTGATGCAATCCAACAACTTCTTCAAGATCAGCACATTAGTGAAGCTGCGCCTAACACATCCACTCAGGGTCGGTTTGCACCCAGTTCTTCCACTGCACATCGTTTTGGAGCACATTACACTCACTGATCATGTAGTTAATAGTAGTTCATAATGTTAGCACAAGTAGTTTCTGATGATGTTGGTAGATGTATAAGGAGACAAATATTATTATTATCTTTGAATTATGTATCTTTTGGATTATGTACAAGCACACATGTCGTTTGTGATGGTGTGGATGGATTGAACTATTATTTAGTATATATATATTTTATTTACATACTTGTTTAATCTTATTACTTTTTAACAGCAATTGAACTTGGTTAATATTATTTTCATTACGTTTTGTGTTCAGACAATGTAAAAATAGTATGACATCCATTCCATAAATTAGAGAACTATAATGCATATAATATTCTATTTTTTAAAACAAAACTGACCATTACAAAATTCAATGGCAAAATGCTATCTACCTCGTTACTCTATACTAGTAAATCATAAAAAATAATGTCTTAACCCTCTCATTACTACTCTGTAATACCTCAATCTATGTCAACTACATCAAATGTCTCTCGAGTAGCTACATTAGGTCCTATGTTGTCTTTGAATTTTTGAACGCGGCTAACATATGCATTCTCCCATTTTGACGCACAAGGGTGATGGTGAACTCGCCAAAGCACGACAATGGAAGGAACTGGATGACCGGCTTCCAAAAACACTTGCACGTACATCCAAAAAATTACATATCTTTACCAAATACATAAAATTTGCAATTACACAAATATTAGACAACAATGTTTGGTTATTTTCATAACTTATACCTGCACAAAATGATTTCCATTGACAAATCCAATGGCAATCTCGCGACGATCAGCTAGGGTTACCGGCGGTGATCTCAAAGGTAAGAAAGTGAGACACTATTACAATGACAAGTGGTACAAGACTACATTATAAAATGATGCAATAAGATACCCCATGTCAGGCATAGTCATCCAACGATCAAAGCCTGGGCTATTTTCAAAATATGAAAGGATGTGTGTCAGCTCATTAACCCTCTCATGCGACCCATATAGTACGACGTATTCATCTCTGTGATTATTCAATTAAACTATAGACCACCCGCGACGAC